ACCTGCGGGGCTTTGGTTGGCTGACCTGCGGGGCTTTGGTCTTGGCCAATTTCAGAGCTTCAGATCTTCAGGCAGAGCTTCGGGCGCCCATTCAAGCAAGATCCTCTTGGTCTTGCCAGCTTTTGCTTTGTCAGGCATGGGGCCTGTCGGCTGACCTGCGGAGCTTTGGTCTTGGCTGGCTCAGTCTGCGGGGCTGTCAGCTTGTCTTCTCTTTCTGCTTAGTCAGGCTGGTCGCTTGACATCGCGTCAGTCTCTTATCCAGGCAGATGCCTGCCATTCAGGCCTCATCTGTTTGGCCAGCGGAGCTTTGATCTAGGCCTGCTTCAGATCGTTGGTCTGAAGAGCTCTGAGAGTGTCTGTGCGTCGTTGGTCTTATTTGCAGACCTCTCTGCTTATTGCTGCGGTGCAGATAGCTTTGCCATGCGCAATGCTGCTCTGTGAGCTGCAACTCTATGCCTTTCCTTAACCTTGCTTTAAGCGAGGATGGCTTGGGGGCCCTGCTGCTCTGCAGGTCACCCTCAGCCCTCTCTTCAGAGGTGTCCGTACCGGTTGGATGTTCTGGAGGGTTTTTGCGGAGCCTGGGACAGTGTGTACTCAGGCTTAGGCCCTCTGTAACTCCCAGCGAGAAGTTCGCTCATCGCCTTGTACTTTGGCCGAAATCATAGAATTTTTCCCGTTTGCTCAAGGGGAACACTCTGCTTTGAGAGCTGCAACTTTCTGCTTCTTCTTTGTCTTGCATTGAGCAAGGATGGCTTGGGGACCTTGCTGCCCTGCAGGTCACCCTGAACCCTCTCTTCAGAGGTGTCTGTGCCGGTTTGCGCGTTTTGGAGGGTTTGTGCGGAACCTGGGTTAGTGCATGCTCAGGCTGAGGCCCTCAGCAATCTCCGGGAGAAGTTTCCCCATTGCCTTGTGCTTCGGCCGAAGTCATAGAGTTTTGGGTCTCTCCCGTGTTGCTCACGGGGAGCACTCTTGCAGTGCAAATGCTTAACCTCTTTCACAGGTTGGATACCTGTTCTTCTAGGGGACTCCAGCATGTGACCTCCGGCGTACTTCCTGTGCTTACGAATGTTACCACGTTCCTTCTCTGGCCCGTGCCCGTCTGAGCCCCGCTTGATGCATCTGCACTGGATCGTGGTGACCAGCGGCGCGCGGTGTTTTTCCCCCGCTGCGAGGCCCTTTCCATCTGTGCTTTTGTTTCACGCGGAGCTTGGGGGTGTCAGTTAGGAAGCCTCCTCTGCACAGAACCGGCATTATTCGGTCCAGCTTAAAACTTCCTCAGAACAACTGAATGCTTGGACGGAGCGGGCCTTTGGGAAACTTACTTCCTTAAAACCTTGCGCGGTGAAAGCCTACCGGGTGCCAGGATGTGCTGACCAGTGGTGCGCGGTCCTTTCCCCCGCTGTGCGAGGCCTTCCTTTTTCCGGCACTTGGTAGGTCTACAGTCGCCGCCTGTTGGTAAACGTGGCGCTTATAAGGGCTCATATTGGGTCTTTCGCAAGGCCTGCTATGTGCTCCTTGGCCGATCTGGTGCGTGTCCTTTTCTTTGACTTCGACGCTTGAGCGGGTGCGAATACCTTTGTTGTTCTTTGCCCCCGCGTGCTTGCGAAAATGGCCATGGCCATTCGCTAACTGGCACGTCGTCGCTCACATTTGAAATTGGGCTGATAGGTAGCGAGCTTTGACTTTGCCAGTAAAGAAATTGGTGGTATTGTGAGTTCTCAGCTTTGGCATCTCAGCTTTGGCGTCTTGTGCATAGCTTAGCTTGGAGCTTCAAACTCAGAGCTGCATTTCCGGCAAAGTCAAAAAGAGAGATTATGTCCTCGCTGTGCATTAGCTTTGGCTTTAGCTTAGGCTTCACACTTTAGCACAAGGGCTTATGGTAGTGTGGCTTGAACTAAACTGTGAACGGGATATGTGTTTACTCATGGTTGTTTACAGTTTTGAGAAAGATCATCACGCTTTGATGCTTATGGTTCAAGCCACACACACACACCATGCAAGAGTAGCATCAGAGCATTGCTTGGATAGCTTTGACTTTTTACCCACCCACCGCTCCCGTTTTGGAGGCAGAGCCTTCTGAAGTCGGGACAGAGCTTTCCGGGCCACTCAGACAGTCTGGACATGCCTTTGTTTCACCAGATGCCCTCTGAATCCATGTGTTGGTGGACTCTTTATGACATGGGCCTTTCTACTCCTTGGTCGTACTGCTTGTATTTGGCCGGTGGTATTGTGAGTTCTCAGCTTTGGCATCTCAGCTTTGGCGTCTTGTGCATAGCTTAGCTTGGAGCTTCAAACTCAGAGCTGCATTTCCGGCAAAGTCAAAAAGAGAGATTATGTCCTCGCTGTGCATTAGCTTTGGCTTTAGCTTAGGCTTCACACTTTAGCACAAGGGCTTATGGTAGTGTGGCTTGAACTAAACTGTGAACCACACGGTTTTGAGCCCACGACGGGCGCGGCGGCTCGACGCAGGCCGAGGGAGAACTGCCGTCTCAGCAGCTACAAAAAGAAAGGAGTTGTCCGATGTGCATGCCTAGGGCGGTCTGGGTGGGGGCATGCACGAAGCTAAGATTGTTCAGTTTTTCCTTGGTTCGCAAGTGAAACACGATGGATTCTAGGTGTTACCGTGCGGTTGTGCAGCATTTTTAAGCATGACTTGACTGCGCTTGACGCCGCAATCTACGACGAATGGGTGTTCTTGAACGAGCCTCGACTAAAAAACTTAGGTGCGCCCACTGCCGTCGTCCGAATCCTTAACTTGCAAAGGCGTGCGCGCTTGGGTATCGACATCACAACTCTGCATCATTTTTCGAGCTGAGCACAGCCGTGGCATTGCTGTATGGTTTCCAGATGCGTGCGCAGCTGCTCTAGCAGGTTGGGAGCCGGCTGGGAGCTGGCTGGGGGCCGCCCCAGGCTCTCCGGGGCTCGCCCGAGAGCTGGCTGGGGGCTGGCGGGGGAGCTGGCTCTCCGGCCGCCTCCCAGAACCCTCTCTCGACATGCAGCCTGATCTGGGGCTATTGACCCCCACGGGCCCACATTCCCTATTATTAGACCGCTCGTTTTTACACCTTCTCAGGGGAATAGCAGCTGTAACAGAACAGAACGTCCACATGTCAAACATCCAACTCACGAATTCGACGCGCGACATGGCGCGGATCCGGAAATGTGCCAAGCCACAAAAGTACGCGCCTGGGCAGTCCAAACGATGTTGCCGCAAATTCTACCCCATGTGGCGCGGGCAAACCAGCCCTTCTCACCGTAACCCAGCTGACGAACCATCCCGCGGGGAATGTGCCCTGCCCAATCACAAGCGCACCAACGTGGATGCAAGGTGCATTGAAGGATTGCTCAAGAGCGCGCTTTCACGTAGTGAGCAGCTCTGGTGACGTGCCCGCGTATCGATTGAATATTCATATACATTCTTTATGTGTAGATGGAGAATGTACTTCGCTTATTCTGAATCCCGGTGTTCGACAGATGGAAATAAGAAAACGCTCCGCGTGCGGATAAGTGTTTATGTCCTTGTAAAACAAATTTATTTCATGTGATATTAGATAGGGCATTTTTTTCTCATTCTGAGTTTGTGCATTTTGTTGTCACAGTTGATCACATCTATGTGCATGTATTCGGTGATCTCAAGTGGGAGGTGCGGGTGGGACCCCCGCATTATTGTGTAGAGTTTTTGTCCCGCTGCCCTCCCTGGATGAATGTGCTCCACGCGGAACGTGCCGCAACTAAATGTACATACCTAATTCTCATTGTTGTTGCCCTGGGCCGGCCAACGTGGGCTACACGCAATCCCCATGTGTTTGAGAAAAGAGAGAGTGCGCTTGTGATTGAATATTCATATACATTTCTTTATGTATAGATGGAAAATGTATTTCTTCTATTCTGAATCCCGGTGTTATACAGAGGGAAATAAACACATTTCTGACGATCTTGGCCGCAAGACTATGTGGTGTTGCTTCGTTTAAGCCACTGCAGGGTGGTCGCCTCTTTTAAGCAAGCCGCGATAACGTATCGGGCTACACACAGGGCAGGCTGCAGCTGAAGCGCAGTGAAGCGCAGTTACTTGAGAAAGGAAGGTGACGGTCTGCATATTGGATTTCGCAAATGCATTTATTTTCAAGTATTCTTCCTTTGCCGTTGCAAGAAGGCCCTTTCCTTAACGTAAGCTTTAATTCACAGTACTTACAATTTCTACATGTGAAATTTTGCAGCATACGCCAAGTGAATCATGTCATGCTTCTGGCTGACATGTCTTTCCGAGAGCCTGAAAAATTGTCCCAGCCTACCGACCATTTTTTTCCGACCCCATGTGCTAGGTCGGATGCGGAGGGGCGCTTGTGTGCATCATCTGCGCGTCCTTCAGCAGGGCTTGCATGCATCACTCTGAGAAAAAGATGACCGTTTGCATGTTGGAGTATTTTTTCAGTATGCTTCCTTTGCAAATTTAATGTTTTTTTTGGTTTTTTGATGTGCTGATCGCGCGGAAATTGCCAATCAATAAGGAACAACCCAAAATTAATCAATGTGACGCGCAGTGTACGGATCATCTGGATGGACTCCAGGGGCGCACTGCAGAATACGGTGCATCAAGGGCAGACGGATTCTTTGATGCTCTGGAGGAGACTCGCTGAGATTTTCGGGGAGTGGCATTCGGGGATACTCTGCGACCTTGTGCGGGTTTTTCTGGGTACTCTTAGAGATATGTGCGGTTTTTGCGAGTTTCAGAGTTTCAGGGTTAGGGATTTATGTCCATGATTTAGCATGTATTGGATGCTTTAGAATTTATTTGTGTGCCTGTTGAATCTGGGCTCAAACTTGTGCAGTGCCTCCTTGGCAAACAAAACACGGTATCTCTGCTGTCTTGCCTTTCGCACGTGCAATCCTGCAGCCACTCAGGTGCCGTTTCTGAGATTTGGTTCCCAAGTTTGGGCGAGGAAAACATCACTGCCGCACCTTGTTCCATCCCCTCGTGAACACGGTACGGTTTTTGTGAGATGTCAAGGAAGCCGTGGCTTGTGGCTGCATGTGTGGTGTTGGTGGTGTCACTCATGCTCTTTCTGACTGCCCGCATCTCACACGTACAACGCTGGCCGACGATGGCAAACACTGCAAGACAGCCTTCTTCAAATGCCTCTGAGATTCAGCACTACATTTTGTGGATTCAGTTGAAATCCAACGTCAAGCATCCCGTATCATTTTACATGAGCCACCTCAGGGAGCTCTGTTCTTGGATCAAGACCAGTCAGATTCACAATATCGGCATTGTTGGCGACGTGGAAGTAATTGGAAGAGAGGTCGACGCATGTGCTGGATTGTTGCATGGCAACCCGGTAACGCTTGAGCAGCTCGCCTACTCAGAGGTGGTAGCTGCCTTGCCTGAAGATGGCGGCTGCAAGCTGAAGTTTGGGCTTGCAGGTCTTTCAAAGGATATGGTCAAGATCTGGCTCAACAAGTTGACGATTTTGTGCAACCTCGCCGCAGAAGACCCGGAAAGAATTACTACCATTGACGATGCCAATATGGCAGTTGATATGCTGAAAACCGTCGTCTCGACGAGGTTCGCGGGCCTCCAACGAGGAAGGCTTGGCTGCGGACACACATGGCCACGTGCGATGACTCTGTGCTAGCAATATTCATTTTGCAAAAGCTATCATCTTTGTTGTGTTCTGATCCATGAGTTCTCTGTATTTAATATGACTTGCTCAGGAACTGGTTCGGACATGCAAGCTGTGCGGTACAGCAGCGGCCTGTAGTTTGGGCAAAATCCCTAGGCATCCGTGGTGCCGATTGTCCGGCATTTCTGGAGGCGTCTCGTCCTGAGTAGTGGAGCAATAGCATGGGAGTACCACGAAAAGGTTCGCGGTTACGATTTGCCTAAAATTTCTCTTTCCATTTACCACTTCGCCTCCTCAACCATTCGCTACTTTAGCACCAATATGGCAGTCAGAAGTAGGTTCGTTGTTATGGTTTGCACAAAATTGCGGAAACTAAGTTGCCCCTACCGCCCCAAAACCCCCATAAATCACCACCCAATGTGTCTATTTATTCGCACTCCCTCGAAACCTCCATTCACGAACAATGGTATAATTATGTATGATTTCAGGACATTTTTGAGAAAAGATGGGTTTAGATAAATAGGGATATGAACAATTACGCCCATGTTGTCAGTGCGTGCGAATGGCCAGAGCATGCATTACGCCCATGTTACCAGTGCGTGCGAGTTGGCCAGAGGGTCCAAGCCCGCACGATGACTGCGTGCTTAGTGAGTATTTGCACGAGAAAGAGCCATGGTCGGTTTTGCGTTAATCATAGGAACGAACCTACTTCGGATTGGTATGATGGTGGTAAAGGGGGTGAATGGTTGAGGTACACGGATTGATGGAAGTTTCGGCAAGACATAACAACGAACCCGCTTGTGGTCATCCCTTGATGTCCTGCGCCTGTTTCTGTACCAGGTGCTGGAGGCATGAGCAGGGTGTGGTGGCTCCTTGCGGTGATTGTTGGTTGGTGGTAGTTCTCGGGTTTCGTTAATTGCGTAACTGTGTTTTCATTAGAAAGACGCTGACAGTGCTTCACCATCGATGACTCGCAGCATTGCCCAAGTCTAAGGCTTATAACAAGACGTTGGATACTGCACGTCGTGAACGTGGAGGCGGAGACTGCCCATGCTTCGATGAAGAATGGCTTCTGACATATCTGTTCAGGCAACGTTCAGACCTGTTTCAGCTGTTGGACGAGCCACATTAGCCGAAAAAGGAGTGTGGGGGGAAAGAGATTTTGACTTGAGATTGTGTTTTCCCTGACGGTTGCTGCTTGCACACTGTTTGAGCGGGTCGAGATGCACAGCTGTGATAAGTAAAGTGAACAGCCAGAAAAGCACGACCACTAAGCAGTCAGACTGGCATGCGATGGGTACCATGCAGATGCACTGTCATGAACGTGCCTTCGTGGTGTTTTTTCTGCATTGTTAAATTATGCATCAGGGCACAGTCCTTGGCCAGAACACGCACAAGACTGAAAAGAGCATCGTAGGTGCGCCGGGATCTGTCTTCGCATGTTCTACATGCTTGACTATACAAGAGGGGATTCGTTTTGAGCATAGAACCTTCGGATTCTGCTTGAGTTGAGCTTGCCATGGCATGTCACAAGTACCCCATGCTTGTGACTTTGCTGACCGTGCTGGCGGCTGGTGCTATCATCTCAATTGCTTGCGCACATTTTTACTTAGCTGGAAGACTTTCTCTGAACTCTGAAGCGACAACGCGTTACTCGGAGGCCAAAGATGCAGCGTTCGAGTGGTGCGGTACCCTCTCAGAGGAGAATCCTGTGTTTCAGGGGGAGACGCCAGCATTTCGTGTGAAGTTTATGAGAGGTTCTGGGGCCTGTTCTGCACTTGTTGGTTTGCTGGATGTTGCGATGTATGCCATGGCGCAGAACCGAACCATGTTCATTGACGAGTCCCACTCCCCCCTTCGGGGCGAACACGAGAGCTGGTACAACCGCTACTTCCTGCCTGTTGGTCAACAGAGCAACTTCTCGGGGCCTTTTATCGACATGGCCTACGAAAGAAATGTTACCAAGTTCGTCAGGGGGACGGAGAGGGTCACAATCCAAAACGAAACGCACTGGAGAGTTGATATGAAGAGGCTCGTGTTGCGCAAAATCTGGCACTTCCAGCCCTGGATTCAACACGAAGTTTGCCAGCATGTCAGTGCTTTGGGGTTGGTTCGGCCATTCATTGGCATGTTGATTCGCCGTGGCGACAAGCTTGACTATAGAGCGGCAATCCCTATGGACACTTTTGTCAGCATCCTGAAATCAACGTCACTCCACTCCCGGGTAAAACAAGTCTTCATAGCCACCGATGACTGCAGCGTGCTCGAGTCGCTTCAAGGGTTGGCTCCCGAATTTGTTTTCAAGAGTCTTTGCAGCATTCAGTTTGGAAAAGGCTTTGTCATTGGCAACCTCAAGGTGCTGGCTTCAAAAGACATCGACCTACATTACCTGAAGTTCTTTGGCGAGCTCATCGTCTTGGCAGCCGCTGATGTTTTCATCGGTGATCATCAGACAAACGTGCACCATTGGGTTACCTACATGCGGCCCGTTGGTACAGGGAATGCCACCACCCTGGACATACGATGGTATCCCTATGCTAACGACATTGTCTAGCACTGACGCCTGGGCAAAAAAGTTGCATCAGTCTGGGACGTTAAGGACCTTACTCGATTTCCCTTTAAGGCATTGACCCGCGAAATCTGACTGTGATAGCTAGCAGTCTGAGAAGCACGAGCCATGCATATGAGGAACACCAGGCCTTCTGCTCACTGGCAGCAACCTTGTCACTCGCGACTTTTGTGGGATTGCGTGGGGTGTGGCGGCAACCAAATGTTGAGCAACGAAGCAGGAACTGCAAGAAAAGAAGAACGCATCTGGAGACCCCAATATGGCACCCCTTATTTTGGAAGCCCCCCCCCCCCCCAATGTTTTGCCTCGTCAAAGATGAGCGACCGGCCAGTTCAAGACAAGGATCCGCTCTCATCTGGATGCGGGCCCGCGGGTTTGGATGGGTGGAAGAAGGGGCGGGCTCGGATGGTGCGGTTTGGAGTGGGTTCAAATTCTGGAGCAGCTGCTTGGGAGCGCGCGGTCAGATTGGGAGTGGGGGCCCGCGAAGTCGGATGGATCAGTGGGTCCTGGTTCTGAGCCACGTATCCGAACCTGCGGGCCCCCAAGCTCGCGATGCGGACCCCTTTTAGTCGATCCGCCTCCTGCCATGATGCTCATGATTATTTGTAGTATGCACATTCAACTGCTGTGCTTAGCGCACAAGCTTCATAAAGATTTTTCCGGGTCCTGCCACCGGGATTGCAACTTGTGCCACTGCACGTGTTTATAACACCAAATTTCTCCTTACTGGCCCTGAGCATCAACTTGGTTGCGGGCATCTCCTGGAACAACTTGCAAATTCTATAGGTGGAACAAACCCATGACCAGTTTCACGCCAAGAGCCCGACAGAGTTTTACCGTTTAGAAAGTCCCGCCCAGCGACCCTATCTGCCCGAGTTTGAGCACTAAGGGGAGTGAACGCATGAGTGGGTTGCACAGGGTGAAACACATAAAATCGAAAGAGCTGAAGAGAGATGAATAAAGCATTTGCTCGCATGAGCGTGCATTGCTCGAAGGAGCTTCGAGCCCCCAGGTAGTTTTGGAAGCGTTGTGCGGCCTTCTCCTGAGCTTCCACTCGTCATAAACTGTTCGACACTAAACAGATGAAAAAAGGCCAGCCTGGCTGATGGCGTGTTCCAGAAGAGTGTGGGTGGGGGAAGAACACGGATACATCATAGAATGGGAAGCCGGTGAGGGCGGTCTAAATATCGGCTCATCCACCCCCTTGAGGTCGCACCTCAAGGATCATCCTCGCAGTTAGCGCGGACTGTGGGTGGTACTTGTTGGCGAGGGTTTTGTAAGACTGCTTGTAGTGCTTGTCTTCACCACTTGCCATGTAAAGATCTTACATTCCAATGGTATTTCGGCGTGTCCTGGTATCGACAACCAGGTTCAGGGAAGATCTACAAGTACGGGGGTTGACGCCAACAATCTACAACCGCAGATGCGCAAAGACCCGGAGGCGGCGCACTTTGACATGGCACTGAGAGATACGCTGCGGGACTTTTCTTAAGGGATGCTCTGTGGGATTCTCTGGGCACGTCTCTGGGGGTGGGAGTCTTGGGTCAGGGCGCAGAGAATAGCTCACGCATGATAATCACACCAAGGGAGGGGAGAATCAGGCCAAACACTTTGCATAGATTTGGGGAATAGCCGCTGCCCTTAGCAAAAATGCCAAGCTAAACGGAAGTTCTTCGTACCTGCACTTGGCTTGTTGCTAGTTTTTCATGACTTCTCGCTCCAGGGCGTAGCGACAGCTTTCAGATCTGCGTGTGGGCAGCTCGATTTTTCGGACGTATGAAGTCCTGCACGCCCGACATGTTCAAGCGTGCCTTGCAAATCAGACCATAGGCACAGTAGAGCCAGCCTGGCTGTTACAAGAAAGGATAAGAAAGTGGAAGCGTCGGCAAAGCAGTTTCCACTTGCAATTCAGGAGAACAAGACATTGAGATTATCTTGGGTCATAGTCGCAGTTGGACCTTAGAATGTTGCTGGGCCAATGGTGAAGGTCATTGCAAAGAACGGATTCTGGACATGGATTTTCGTGGAAGCGACACGTCCCCGGCACATTCGGCACATTGTGGACGTGTTGGGGCCGGATTGTTGATGGGACTTGCTGCGATCGCAACATTAAAGTGGAATGCGTGTGCTAGTGCCTCGTCGCAGACATGTTGGGAGGCTAGGACAATTTAGGATGGTTTGCAGTGTAACCAGAATGGTGATTTTTCCCTGTGGTTCATGGCACGTGTACGGTTTAGTGTTCGGATTTACGAGGATTTAAGTCTCCCCTGTTGTGGTTCAGTTTGGGTAAGGCTTGAGGGTTTAGGTCTGGGTTGATGGCTGAGGGTTCACCCCGCTCCCCGTGCGTGCAATTCGCGGGGTCATGTCTATATGTATAGATAGATTGATAGATAGATGAATATATATATATATATATGTATATGTATATGTATATACGGAACCCGACCAACCTCCACATAAAACAAAGAGCAGCGGTACAGATACATACAAAACAAAACTGAACAACCCCAAAAAGCACCCACAGAACGACAACAAACAACCCAGAACCAATATTTTGGGAGACTGTGTCCGGGGCACAGTCTCCCCAAACGCCAAAACACCAAAAAAGAAGCCAACAAAAACCAAACAATCAAAAACAAGAAAAGCAAAACAAGAAAAACCCAAAACACCAAGACAAAACAAAAATAAAATGTGGGACACTATGACCCGGACCTGGGGGACTTTCCTCCCATTTTTTTGGCTGTTTGGTTTTGAGGGAGACTGTGACCTGGAGATGGAGCCAAAAACAAGGTCACGCCTCGTTTAGCGGCCCTGGACCGTTTGTGCGCGGAAATGTGGTTTTAACCCACGCAGGGCAGTGTTTGAGAAAAAAAGGGGCTTTGTCGGCGGAAGTTGTTTTTCAGGACTTGGAGTGATTATAAGGTGGTGTGTTGCTCAAAAGTGCCACGCCTGCCAGTGTTTTCAGCATTTGGCAGCGCTTACTGTGGGGATGCGTTTTTGCGACTTTTGCGCGTTTTTGGGTTTCGTGTTTTGTCACTGTTCAGGGTGGAAGGGGGTAACTGCGATGTGTTTTAATGTTGAAAAGTGCCACGCCTGCCAGTGTTTTGAGCATCTCGCATGTTTTTTGGGGGCTGGAGTGTTCAGGGTGCAATGGGCTTGCAGTGGTTCGAGTTTAGGGTCAAGCACGGAAAGCACGGTTTTGGTCGCGAAAGGCATGGACGCTTGTGACAGATTTTCTTGTTCCACATCCTTGTGCAGTATGTTGCACAAAGAGGCGAAAACGCTGTAAATACCAGTGTTTTGTGCATGGACGCAATATGAATGACGTTCTTATCCCCACCCACCCCCCACCACCCACCCACTCCCCCCACCCAAAGACAACCGCAACAAGTCACAAAAAAGTGCCAAAACTAGCGTTTTACCCAGGGCCGCTAACTGCGGCGTGCGCAACAACAACCCCCCCCCCCCCCCAAACCCCCAAAAAAACAAAAGAAACAAAATATAAAACAAAAACAACCAAAAACCAAAAACCAAAACACCAAAATTTTGTGAGGCTAGTCCCCCAGGTCCGGGTCGTAGTGTCCCATTTTTTGTTTTTTGGCTTTATGTATGTTTTTTTGTTTTTGGAGAGACTGTGCCGCGGAGACAGTGGGCCAGTCTCCCCAAAACCTCAAGAACCAAAAAGCAAATTGGGAGAGTAGTCCCCCAGGTCCGGGTCATACAGTTTCCATCTTTTTGTGTTGTATTTGTTTTGGGTTCCGTATCCAGGTCACATTGTCCCCCAAACCAAAAAAAAGCACATAAGCAAATAAATAGCCAAAAACAAAAAAGACATTGCGAGAGACTTGTTCCCCATGTCCGGGTCGTAGTGCCCCATTTTGCATGTTTTTTCTTTCTTCTCTTGCGTTAGTTTGTTTGGTTTTGTGGTTCCTCGAAAAGCTGCTCCCGTACTTTGTTCCATTTAGATATACAGAACATACACCAATATGCCCTCTACACATACATGATGTGGGTAGTCATGCTACCTCTTCTTTGCATTTGCATGGGCATTTCTTGGGAAAGCTGCTGACTTTGTATAATAAGAAAATGCCTATGCATGCCAAGGATTAGTAGGATTTGGAATGCCTTTTCTTTGCAAATTCCATTGGAGGCAAGCGTACAAAGCCTACAAACAAAGGCATATTGTTAAGCCCGAAGACATGGAAGGAATTTGGCTCTCAGTATTCTCGCGTCCTGGGCTTGGATGTAATGTTTTTTTTTTAGCATCACCCGATGCCCTCGAATGCTTCCTAGCCTTGTGGTTTGAGGATTGCAAGACTTTTTCTCCATCATCTGTATACATATTGCCCTATATACACACATGATACGGATAGTTCTTCTACATTTTCTTTTCGTTCCCACAGGAGGCAAGCCCTGCAATAATTGGCATGTTTAGGGAAAACAGCTCACGTTTATACAAATTCGTCACGACTCACGCATAAAAAAAACTAAGCCCCGAGGCTTTCCCACAATTCTATCGAGTCCGGGAGTATTAAATCTCAGAGGCTATTATATTGTTTCCTTCATCAGACCTGTCCAGAGTCACATCTCCGACAAACCTACAACAATAGCTATTTGTTTAGAATTGGGGTTGGTGTTGGGGGGGGGGTTAGCTGTATGGTAACATGCTGTCCCCCGCATTGATCCGCTGTTTTCGGCTTCAGTTTCATGAAAGTACGCTCAGTGGGTGGTTCCTATTTATATAGTCGCAGCGTATGCTGCTAATGTTCGCAAAATCAACTTCTGGAAAGTGCGGTTTTAGGTTGCGACAGGACACAAGATACACAACTAGGGTTCAACGAGCTGAAAAAAAACCACGGCTCAAAAGGCGATTCACAATTTGCTTCAATTTGATTGGCATAATCAGGTGCTTGATATTTGGTATTTTGGGGCAGTTTCTTGTGAGTGATGACCCCGGCATTTCATGAATTACACGAAAGTAGCTT